AATCAGAAACACTTAAATTTTTAATTTTTCATCTCTAAATTTCAAGTAATGATTTCCATTTTATTTCAATGCTCAATGGAAAAATAAAATGGTAATTCAGGGACATTAATTGTTCCTATCTGAAGTGTCTTAGGATTCTGGTGAACAAGGACAACTTTCTGTCTGAAGTGGAGTGAGATTAGATCTCTACCAGGCAACCGTGTGTAGCTCCCAGTCATGGGAGAACCAGAGTGTAATATGGGGGAGGGAAGGTAGGACAAATGCAGTCTAAAAGAATAAATGTAAGTTTTCTATCCTAATGTCCTACCTTAATTCTCCAGGACAAAATCTTATCTGATGAAGCCAACTTTTAAAATAAATTGGGAGGAAAAGCCATCATACCTACCTCTCCACTGGTGATGGAGGCTTTCCACATTCCAAGGTTCTCACACCACCAGTCTGTTCTTGCCATGTGCAGTTGAAGTTCCGTGCGTTCTTTCTCTATTAGAATGATTTCCTCCTTCAACTTGGAAACAATCTACCACAGGGAAACAATCCTGGGAGTTATGAAACCATTTAAAATGCTATATAATTCAGCAAAGTAGTGAGACATAAAATCAACATATAAAAATTAGTTGTGTTTCTATACACTAACAATAGACAATCCAAAAGGGAAATTAAGAAAACAATTCCATTTACAATAGCATAAAGATAATAAAATACATAGGAGTGAACTTAAGCAAGGAGGTGAAAGACTTCTACAATGAAAACTACAAAACACTGATGAAAGATATTTAAAAAGACATAAATATAAATGAAAAGATAGTCAGTCCATGTTCATAGATTAGAAGACTAAATTTGCTAAGATGTCAACACTAGCCAAAGCAATGTACAGATTTGACATTGCTTTGATATCTCTATCTAAATCTCAACAATGTTTTTTGCATAAACAGAAAAATCCATCTTAAAATTCATATGGACTCACAAGAGAGAATGAACAGCCAAAACAATCTTGAAAAGGAAGAACGAAGTTAGAGGATTCACACTTTCTGATTTCAATGCCAACTACAAAACTACACTAATCAAAGCAGTATGGTACTGGCATAAAGACAGACACATAGACCAATGGAACAGAACAGAAAGCCAAGAAATCAACCTTCACCTATATGGTCAAATGATGGTGAGAAAACAGAATACTCACATGCAAGACAATGAAGTTAGACCCTTACCTAACACCATATATAACAATTCAAAATGGTACAAAGACCTAAACATAAGAGCTTAACATTATAAAATTCTTAAAAAAAAAACATGGGGAAAATCTTCATAACAATGAACTCTCAATGATTCCTTGGCTATGACACCAAAGGCACAGGCAACAACAACAACAACAACAACAACAACAACAAAAATTAGACTTCATACAAATTTTAAACTTTTGGGCAAAGAATAAAAAGGCAACCCACAGAATGGAAGAAGATATTTGCGAATCACATAACTGATAGGGGATTAATATCCAGAATAAACAGAGAGCTCCTAAAACTCAACAACAAAAAAGCCAACAATTGATTCAAAAATGGGTAAAGGACTTGATTAGGTATTTCTCAAAGAAGATACATAAATGGCTAAAAAGCACATGAAAAGATACTCAGTGTCACTTGTCATTAGGGAAAAGCAAATCAAAACTACAATGAGATACCACACCTCACACCTATTAGGATGGCTACTATCAAAAATAAATAAAATGAATGAATGAATGAATGAATGAATGAACAAATAAATAAATACAAACCCAGAAAATGACAAGTGTTGGTCAGGATACACAGAAACTGGAATCCCTATGTACTGCTGCTAATAAGGCAAAATGATGTGGAAAACAGTATGGAGATTTCTCAAAAAGTTAAAAGCAGAATTCACATATGACCCACAATTCCAGTTTTGCATACACACCTAAAAGAATTGAAAGTAGTGCTCACTGCGGCAGCACACATACTAAAATTGGAATGATACAGAGATTAGCATGGCCCCTGCACAAAGATGATATGCAAATTTGTGAAGTATTCTATATTTTTAAAAGAAAAAGAAAAAAAGAATTGGAAGCAGAATCTCAAAGAGATACTTGTATACCCACATTCATGGCAACATTATTCACAATAGCCAAAAGGTGCAAACCAAGTGTACAGAGAGAGATGAATGGATAAACAAAATGTTATATACACATGCAATGGAATATTATTCAGCCTTAAAGAAGAAACAAATTCAGACACATAGTACAATATGGATGAACCTGGAAGACATTATACTAGGTGAACTAAGCCAGTCACAAAATAAAAAATACTATATGATTCCATTTATATGAGGTATGTAGAGTAGTTTAATTCTCAAGAGACAGAAAGTAGAATGATGGTGGCTGGGACATGGTGAGGGGAAAATGGGAAGTCAGCGTTCAATGGGAACAGAGTTTCAGTTTTGCAAAATAAAGCTAATTCTGAAGATAGATGGTGATGATGGTTGTTTAACAATGTGAATGTACTTGACACTAAAATGTATACTTAAAATAGCTAAAATGGTAAAATTTTGTTGTTTATTTGACAATTTTGACAAAATAAATACTTTATTAAAAAAATGCTACCTCCTTGGATCTCTTTTATGAGAAAACCTATAGGGTTATGTAACCCTGTACTTTAAGGGTGGCAGCTTCGCCCCTACACTCTTTTGAACATGCAGTTTACATTCGGAACCCTTTCCCTGCTCAGAAAACCTGCAGGAAGTGTCTCTGCCTAGGCTGTCATCCCACATTTTATCCTCATTAAAGGCTGTGACTCTCTGCTTCATTTTCGTGGAAGTATGTTTTGGGTCCGTAATCAGTATGCTTGCTCCCTAAGAGCAGGTGGTAGACTCAATGTTTCACTGATTCTTCACAGTAACCAGTACAGCATCATTCATTTACTCATCGCTTATGTTTCTGAACATGCATTCAGAAACTGCCAGAGAAGATCCATCTGGCAGACCAAAGAGAGTTGGCCATACCTCCGTTACGGAAACCTCCTTGCTGGACTCCAAAGGGGCATGAACACAAAGTGAAAGGCCGCGCACTGCTTGGGCTGGAGAAATGCCAAAGAGCAAGATGCCGTTTGCATTTTTTGAACTTACAGATTTTGTTGGCTTTTAGCAACATAGTTTATTTCCTGCATAATTCTGTGGGGTTCTCTAAATTGTACTTGCAACATTGGTAAGGAAAAACAAAAGTTTTTTTTAAGATTGTCCTTGTTAACTCACTCCCAGAAATGACCTTGGTACAAGGGAAAGCTTTGCCCCTCCCCAAAGGTACTGCAGGCAAGCCAGATAGGAAAACAGAGTTACACGCAGTTGATAACTGGGTAAGAACCCCAAATCACGAATGATTGAAAACAAGCACTTTCCTAATTCTTACTAGAAGCAAAAAAAATAAAAAAATTAAAAAAAATAACAATAGAACTTACAGTAAAATTCTTTTTAAAGATATTGTGACACTTCTCAACATAAACCGAAAACTACAATTTATCAAATTTTAAAAACTGACACTTTCAAAGACAACCTCAAAATAGAAAGAGTTACCTTCTTGTCAGGTTTTGGTGCATTTTGAATAGAATTTAGAGCTTGCCTTTTATATTCAAGTTTCTCATTTAGTTCTCGTAGTTTGTTTACAGCAAAACTGGCTTGTTCACTAATCTGACTGGTGCCTTCATCCACAGATTCCTCACCAGCTTCACCACCTGGGTCCTGGGAGAAAAGTCACATAACCACCATTATCTTATAAAGGTGGACTATTCAGTAATTATTATTCATTGTATAGATGCTACATAATTATAAATACACTGTCCAAAACACTAGGTCCCACTAAAGAAAGAATCTATTTTTGTCTAGAAGCAGACTGCTTTCTCTTAGTAAAATTAAAAATTGAAGTATTTGGAACCAAAGTAATTGGTATTCCAAATTGCAATGAAGAAAAAAAAAAAAAAGAAATATTTAAAAGCTTAAAGAAAGGAGAAAATATTCCATACCATTATTTCCCAAAAGGTTCACCCAAGGGAATCTGCATGGAACAAGGGAAGGCACCTAAGCTATCTAACCAACTTAACCCAAACATTCTGTGCCTGATCTTTGAGAAAGACTGAGACTGGGCTTCCTTTTGGTTTCCTATGAATATTATGGAAAAACTCATGAAAAGTTTCTTTAAAATAAAATTTCCAAATTCCCACTAGTTAAAGTACTTTCAGTATACACTTTGTTTGGTCCATCTCTTGAAGGCATATTTCATAAATCATTAAGTAGATTATGTTACTAGTAAAATGGTTAGCATTTGAAAGTGACTTAAAATTCACAAAGAACTATATAAGTTGGAAAAATCTGGACAGATTACCAAAGGACATGTTAATTAGCTTCACGAGCAGCAAAGGCAGCAGGACACTCAAAAGAACTACTGAGAACTATCTTCTGGTTCGTTTGCTCCTTAACTTTCTTCGAGTTTTTTCTTCTTTTATTAATTGTAACAAACAATAAATTATTTTTTTCAAAAAATATTATATATCATTTTATAATTATATTGTAATCACAGAAAATAAAATACTATAATCACAGAAAACCAAGCTGGTTTCCTTTTTGTATGATCTTTTTAAGTCTTGTCCATAAGTACATACATTATGACATAATTCTACACCTACATACTGTATACACTCATGTGGGTGTTCTGTCCTTTTCATATGACATATACTACTGCGTATTCTGAGGGTATTATAGTCTTCAAAATTATAATTTTATGGCTGCTGAGTACTTTATGAATTGATAATTTACTGAGGCATATTCCTATTGCTTCTCCTGATACGGGTTTTGTTTCTCTGCTATCCCAGATATACTAAAATGAACTCCATTGTGCATAAACTTTTTTCTATATTTTAGCTATTTTCTTAGGATAAATTTCTATAACTGGGATTATGCAACAAAGAGTAGGACTTTTCAAAAGGGCAGTAATACATATTACCCTTCTCTGAATCCTAGGTGAAACTGAACATGTCGTCATGTTTGTTTACTAGTATCTATCATGTCAAGTCCTTACTCAATTTATCTGTTGGGTATTGATGTTTTTATTAATTTGAATAACCTCTTTTTTAATAGCATTTGCATATTAACCATTTTAATTTTTGGTTAGAGAGATAACACAGTTAAAACAAACTGGCCTGTACACTGAAAATATAAAGAACCAAGTAACAAACTTAAAAAAAAAAAAGTATGAGTAAATGAATTCAACAATAGTTCAGAGACGCCAGCTTCTAATACCATGAAGAGCAAACACTTGATCCCCGGGACTTAAGACACAGTGAATTGGGCAGAAAGAATTCAAATTATGATCTTTTTAAATAAGATGACTCTAAAACAATAGACCTTCACAAATCTTAAAACTCATGTAAGTCATTAATAGTATATGAGAGATGGCAACTGGGACTTCTTAAAATGACCTCATACACTGTGAGAAAATTAGACATACGGTATTGGCTGAGCATAGTTTCTTTTAGAACAACTTAATTTTGTCTGATTTTCTTAAACTCCAAAATATTTCCCGTAATTCCTCCCACATTCTCTTCCTCTCCTCCTTTTCCCCCCATCTTTTGTCTATTCTTAGGCTGGACTAGAGTTCTACTGATTTCTTTCCTGGCCTGAGCCACAAATGTCCCGCCCCACAGATTTTCTACCCTCATTTTCAGGAGTCAAACTCAGGGTGTGTCTCAGGCAGACAGGGCAAGAGAGGTCCCTGACTGAATAAATACTGGGTGGTGGTAAGCAGTTGGTCAGGACAAAAAAGAAGTGCATACGGCCAGAAGCAACAAGGTAATTCTACTTAAAGTACTGTATAATAAAAGATGAAAGTGCACACCAAATTTGGCTTATACAACATGCGCCCGCCTAATTATATTCAAAGCTTATCCACTGAAAAGGGAGCAGAAAGTTAAATGGGACTCACCGCTTCATCCTTGTGAGAAATTAACTGTGAGACATGTTTTTCTTCTTCTTTTATCATCAATTTCTCATACAGGTCACTGACAATAAATGAAGGGTAATATCTGTCCTTCAGGATCTCATAAACATCTCCCTGGATTTTATAGAACACTTCAATACCTTTATTTCCTACAAGACATTGCTGGATTTCTTTGTAAAGTGATTTTTCCACAGATATTTCTTTGCTCTCCACAAAAAAATTCTGGTAAATTTCACCCACTAATTGGGGGATTTCATTCTGAAAAGACAGGAAAATAAAGAGAAAGGTAAGAAAAATCACCTCTGAGAATTATTTTCTCTTGAATTCTCTGCATTTTTAAAGCTGGAAGAAAGACACTAAGAATGTACACTGGTACATCAGTGTGGGGCTTTGGCTTTCGTGCACACATTCAGGGCCAAGGACTAAGTGTCAAACCATGAAAAAGTAACTGGTTCCGTAAAGTGAACACTTTCTGTTGAACGGTCAATGAAAGTTGGTACTCAGTTCTAGCAACACTCATATAAAGTGCAAATGGGTAATTCAATGTACGCAGTGCTCTTTGTGCTTATTTTAATAAGCCTTGCAAAATAAATATATTATATATGCTATACATATTGTTATGTATATTTATAGACATATACATATACATATATATTTCACATTCTTTAATTTAATTCTTAAATATATACTGAGAACTTGCCAAGTGCAAAACATAATGTTTATTGTAGGGCTTTTCATTGTAAGAGGCATCTGCACCCCAAAATTTTTTTCTGTGTTTCTTAACTCAATCATATTTTAAATAAAATGTGAATAGTATTGTAAAAAAAAAATAATGCCTTTTTATAATGTGTTAAGAAGGAACTACCTGAAACTAAATTCGATATTTTGGTACATTTATAAATCTTTTTTTCCTTTGACTACACAATTGAGAAGCATCTTTTGCAAAAATAAAATCTAATTTTATTTATTATTATGGACTAGAACTTAATGCCAATATTATATGTGGTTTAAAATATTCTTTTAATGTATTCTTATCTTATAGCTCATTGAGAAACACAA